GGGGGGGGGGCCGGGGGGGGGGTTAGGGGGTGATGATGTATTATTTTAGATTAGTGTTTTATTTTTCAGTCCTACGTTGAAATTTATCATGTGTCTTCAGTTAAATGTAGTTTTTTAAGAGATGGCTGTACCCAAATAGGGCTAAAAATCATTATTTTGAGTCTTTGATGTCTACTTATTGATTAAATATTAGATACTATCTAACGTTTAACGGAATAATATTTTTCAAAAAGTATGTTTTTTTTCTGAGGTTTTTGATGCTGCACTCATCAGCACCGGTGCTCTGGTCTGTGTCCCGCCTTTGTTGCCACGGAAGGTTGGCATGGGTAAACTCAGTGGGCACAACTCGCAAAACAATAAAACAGGAACGTGCCATACTCCCTTTGTCATGAACAGCAATCGGCTGTAGCTGTAGCTGAATTGGGCAGTACACTGCAATACAGTGCAACACAGCGAAATACACATGAAAAAAAAAAAAAAAAATGCAGTTGCGAGTTAACACAGGAAAGGGGAATTTCAAACCAAAAAGGGTCAAATTTATTACTTAGTACTGAATATCGCTTATACAACCAAACAAATTGGCTCGATTTTTTCGTCAGGTTGGCCCCCATGTTGGTGAGTGGCTCTTCTTGGCTGGTAATGTGTCCAAGAAGAGCCATTTGCCAACATGGCTGCCAATCTAACGCTATAAAAATCTTGCCGATTTGTTATGTTACAACAGCAATTAATAACCCTGTAATATAGTTTGTATTTATATCAACCTACTTGTTGGAAAAGACCGTTTCTTAGGTTATTGCAATTGCAATTTTTTAATTGTGTAATTGCAACTGGAATTGTTTTTTCAAGTGTATTGTGCTGTGTTGCACTGTATTGCGCAAAAAATATACCCTCTACTAGTACCAGCACCACAGATTGATTTTTCTTTAGAAATTCACAGCCAATGTCTCTGGCTAAATTTGGTCAATCTTCTAACTGTGACCCTGTGGTGAAATCTCTAGGTTGATTACATGACTGTTGACTATTTGCATCACTACTCAGGATTGCCACTAATCTATGTACTGTTAAGTCAGATGGAAGTTAACTGAGGAATCTCCTGAACTAGCTCCCTACAGAGCGTGTACAATGCCACCTGTGCAGATTTAATTGCTTCCAAGATCATCTGGCCAAAAGTCACAGGATCACAGAGAACAAAATGGCCGTCTCTTTATTTAAATGCATATCTGTGAATATCTAGTGAAAATCAATCTGTGGCCCTGGTCATGGTCACTAAAATTTGAATAACCTTTGATGTAAATGAGATAGATCAAAAACTAAACGGTGTATTCATGCCCAGAAATGTAGCTATGTGTATAAAAAAACTCCCAAGTATCTAGCTGCAAAGTCGCGTATTGACCCTACAGTAATAAGTTGACGGAGTTTGATGAACGTGACAACAGGCTACCCTGTACCAGGGCGAGTGATAGATTTTTTTTACAGATATTCACAGATATGTCTCTAGCTAGATAGATAGTCATTTACAGCTGAACTGGGTTTAGCTGAAAATGACCATCTATCTAGCTAGAGACATATTTGTGAAAAAATAATATCTGTAAAAAATCTATCACTCACCCTGGTAGAGGGTAACAACAGACGGTGGAGCTGAGTCAACCGCAGCCTTTCAGTTAAACAATCCTTGAAGTGTTCTGATTCCGTGCTTTCCACTGACCATATAGCATAAAAAATTGCCACAGAATTCATTAAAAAGCGATTAATTTTTGACACGGCACTAACCTTGCAGTGACACAGGCACAGTGCACCGAAATAAACGCTTTCCTTACACAGGAAGTGCAACAGGATTGAACGAGGAGTGTCTTGACATGTGCAATCTCTATCCGCCAGGTGGCAGCAACTCGCAAGTAAAGCTGTAGCAGTGAGAGTTTTAATTAAAATTTATTTGCCCATTCTTTGTACACAGATAAGATATGTTGTGTCTCTCTTTTGTTGTCTATTTCAACTCTCTGGCTCAACCATTTAGAAAAAAAAAAAAAAAAGGGGACAAACTTTGAATGTAAAAATGGAATTATTAACCATTGGTAAGTATGGGAAAATTGTTGTTTACTCCAGGAAAATTCATTTTTGGCCAAAACGAAGAGTTATTATCCCTTAAAATGCACTAATGTAAATAATAATAAGTAAATAATAATAAATAAATAACTATTTTAAGATAATAAAAAAATGAAAATTATAATAAATAAATGAGATACAAGAGGTGATCTATATTTTTCTCAAAAAGTTTCTGATCAATGTTGGCAAACATTTTTAAAATTTCAATCAGCCACAATATATATTGAGTATGGAGGACAGCCTTGATCACCTGAACATGCAGCTAGGTGCCCCTGCATGCAAACATATATCACTATATACATAAATGATGTTAGACGGCCCCCCAAAAAATTTTAAAAAGTAAAATGTTCCTGATATTTCCATACTTTGCCATTTTCATATTTTTGGGAGTGGTTTAGATACAGTCCACATTTTCTAACAATTTTACACAGATTATTAATAATGTCCCTCTGTAAAAATCTGTGGCATTAATTTGACAATTTAAAATGTGTCTATAATTTAAAAATGACACTGATATGACACCATGTGGTCACATTGTGGACAGATGGTGCTCCCTTGTGGAGGAATGTCATTGGTTACTGCACTGAGTTTTCCGACCAAAATAAAATGTTGTGGGGATGAAAGCAATTTTCTTCCAACTCGCAATGTGTAAGTCAAATCAACTTAATAATTTAGAACAATTTATATGACTTTTGAGAATTACAGACAATTTCAGTTTAAAAACAATTCCAATGTTTGTTATAGCCTTCATGTAACATTTTTTTTTTCTTTTTTTTCACTACTTCAACAAAATGTGAAAAGGATGTACAGAATGATAAATAAGGTTTCATTACATTTGTAGAAATCCACAAAATTTTTTTTTTTTTCAATTAAAAAAAAAAAATTCAATATTATACCATCCCTGCTTAATGTGCATCAATAAGAAATGCTATGGTTAGTTCTGCAGGTTTTTATTTTTTTTTATTTTCAATAAACAGATCATTAATCGAAAAATTGCATTGAACACCGACCCAGTATCTGCAATTTAAAATGTATAAAGGGCCTTGCCAAGGCTTGGCATTAACCACACTTGAGACGCAGATGACAATAAAAGGATTTGTAGCAGACAGTCAGAATGGCTTGAACGGATCACATTCTCCAGAAAATAAGCCCAACAAACAATATCTTTATCAAAGTAGACAAATTGAAAGCTCATTTTGTAAATTTTGGGCTGAAAAAAATTCCTTTTTGCTTGGTCTGGGAGTTAATGAGCTACATGGTCAAGTGATCTCCAATCTCTTATTACAATTCAAGTTCTTTTCCTTCTATACTAATACACACAAAATACATTACAATGGATCCTTAAACAAGTCAGAGATATTGAAGCCAATTAACAGAATTAAGACATATAACAAGTGACCTTTAACATTGTTAAATTCAGACTGCTTTAAACTTCAACTTGGAGATGAAGCCGTAAATAAAGTTTTTCACCCTTTTTAAACTGAAAACATCCTTTAAAACTTGGTTACAGTTCTTTCCAAAGAATAAAATGTATTAAAAAACTCATGTAATATCATTATAATGCATACATCTGGATATAATCTTTACCAAATGTTGATTTAATTTGATTTAAATGTGGAAGTTTCTAAAATGAAGTTTGGCTGTGAAATCACCACTATGACATATTTACCATTTGGTAATAAAGCAATTTATCAGAATATATTGACCTTTTTTTCCTGTTCAGCATAAATTCTATCACGTATATATGTACAAAATATACACAAATATGTACAAAATATCATCTAAACACCAGATAGTGGGTCTAAGTCTCATGAAAGTAATTTATTTTATCCCAGTATTATTCAACATGTTAGTATGAATTAGATCACCTTCTATTGCAATTCCTGTACTAGTGTAGTTCTATGAAAGCACTCAGATTCAGATATCATACCAGCTGAATGCATCCAACTCTGTCGGAATTCTTGCTAAAATGCAATGTATTCAGCTTAATTATCCACCACGCCCCCCCCCCCCTCCAGCAGCAAGGGGGTAATCAACTTTCACGATCACTCGGCTTACGTAATTTCTCTTAGCTGAAATAGGAGGCATGTCAGACAATAAAGCTGATCACATCATCATTAACAAAAATCTCCACAGAGTTAGATCAATCCAGCTGGTATGATGTCTGAATCTGAATGCTCCCTATAATACAACTGTGTTCTATGTTAACTGTAATCTATCAACAATTCCATACCATACCCTTACTATGACCTGTATATTTAAGGGATAATAACTCTTCATTTTGGCCAAAAAATGAATTTTCCTGGAGTAAACAATTTTCCCATACTTACCAATGGCTAATGAATCCATTTTTACATTCAAAGTTAGTCCCTGGTTTTTTTTTCTAAAAAGTTTGGTTTTTTGTTAAAATCTCTTTAGAGATTATAACAGAGTATAGCCATCAATGGAGGTCATGTGGTCTGATGACAAGCTCAGATATCAGAATAATAGCTGTAACTGCCATTTTTCTTGTACAACAGAATATATTATATTTCTATGAGTTGTTCACAATGTTTTTATTGTGAAATATAGATCTCATATGAAGAGTTATTATCCCTTTAATTGAACATTTTGGACTTTAGAGAAGAGAAATAAACCTGCTTATAGATCTGAGGCCTCCTGTTATTTCTGCCTAATGAGACTGATACAATAAATTCTGGTCTATTTCTTCTGGGAACCAAGACCACATGACAAGGTTGGTCTACCCTACAACCCACTGTTGTTAACTAAAATGATGTCTAATTTATTATTCATTGCCTTCTTTTTCAAAAATAGAAGCAACTAGAGGATCAGAGGGGCGATACCGCCTCTGGATATTGTACCACCAGCTGGAGTAAGCGCATTCGGATGGAAAACCAAAAAAAAAAAAAAAGGGATACCACTATCAGTCTTGTGCTTGGCAAGCTCTATAAAATGCAATAAACAAGAGTTCTCAAAATATGCAAAAATGCACAAAGAACATAACTGTAAAAATGGTCCAATCAAGTGGTTTTTCCAATTCATGAATTGACCTGTATTTTCCTAACACTGATCACTCCTGTGATTTTCTAGACAATAGGCCTGATGGTTTTCCTTGAAATGTGTTATCAGTGTTGCATATATGCTGACAAAAGAAAAAACCTAGGGGCAACACTGGGCACATCTCTCTTAGTTTTGAAGATAAGAGGGGCAAGAAAATATGCAAAGTTCAGTTCATGATAAAAAAGTAGATCAAAGGTCAATTTCAAAGTCACAGTTTATGACTTCCTTTTCAGGTTCAATACTAACTATGGATATTTCTTTGCCAATTTTGGAGACATAAAGGCCAGAAAACATGCACAGTACAGTTCATCATAAAAAGTAGGTCAAAGGTCCATTTCAAGTTTACAGTTAGATTGCCAGTATATGACTTCCTCTTCAAGTTCAATAGTAAATATTGGTGTATCTATGCCAGTTTTCAAGATATAAGGGACGGAAATTTTGCAAAGTTCAATTTATGGTAAAAAGTAGGTTAAAAATCAAATTCAGTGTTACAGTAAGATTGCCAATAGACTACTTCCTATTCAAGTTCAAAAGTAACTATGGACGTATTTCTGCCAGTTCTGGAGATATAGGGGCCAGAAAATTTGGAAAGTTCAGTTCATGGTGAAAAGTAGGTCAAATGTCAATTACAAGATCACATATTGATTGCCAGTATATGACTTCCTATTCAAGTTTAATAATAACTATGGGCATAGTAATACCAGTTTTGGAGATATAAGGGGCAGAAAATTTGCAAAGTTCAGTTCATGGTGAAATGTAGGTCAAAGTTCAATTTCAAGGTCATAGTTAGATTGCCAGTATGTGACTTCCCATTCCAGTTTAATAGTGTCTATAGTATAGTATAGTAACTGCTACTTTTGGAGTATTTCACATTTTATCTTCTCCACTGAATATTGCTACATTGTACTTTTTGATATAGCGCAACTCTTAAACCATATAGAAAACATAAAAATGGACACTACTTTCAGTATTGCGCTTGAAAAGTTCTACAAAATGCAAAAAACAAGAGGTCTCTAGCATTTACGGTTCCAAAATTAGGGAGTTTTCAGTCTAAACATCTAATGGCTGCTTTTCCCATGAAAATTCACCAATTGACCCCCAAACCAAAAATGAAAGGAGACCCTAATTGCTTCCCTTCAATAAAAGGGAGAATATGAGTTCTTAGGTCTGTGTAATTTCTGAAAATTGGCACAAAAATTTATTGGGGGAAAAAATCCCACTTTTAGAAAATTTTGGCCCATTTGACTTTCAAATAAAGGTCAAGGGTCAAATATAAGGGCATTTTTGGAATCTCCACATGACTTTTGGTCAGACTGCTGTAGCAACTTTTCCCATATTTCCTTCAGTATATTTAGCATTGAATTTTCAAAAATTTTGACAAGGGTGCATTTCAACGAGCATCACAACAAGGCGAATGCACTCACTGAGACAAAAAAATCCAGAGGGCTCAAGTTGAGATTATATGTGACCTAAATCCAAGAGATGGGCACACAGGCCCTTGCCGTCTACGAAGAGAAACAGTAACAATGACTTGTATCCCATGCCACCCTGCTGAGCCGGTAGAGCTCACGGAGCCGGCGGAGCAGTACGATACGGGCCGGGACTAAAACCGTGAGCACTGCTGGTGGTACTAATAAAACTTCCTCCTGCGTTTCTCCTTGACAACCAAATTCTCTTCATTTTGCTCCAGTTTTCTTCTCGGTACAGATCTTTTAAGAGCCTCATAAGCATTTCCAGTGTCACGTAGTTCAACAAGGTACTTAAGCACTTTGTTGAGAGGAAGTATACTGGTTTGACCACTTCGTAATCTGAAAGAAAATACTGATATGTTGAACAAACACATGGTATGTAGCCAGAACTTCCAACAGGCAAAAATTATCAAACATTTAGATACATAATTCTATAATAACAAAAAGTATATTCCTATATATGGCATTTGTGGTGCTTTTACTGTTCAGAATAAAAGAGTAGCCTGCTTTTTTAATTTTGTTGTTACCATTCAATCTATAGGAATGTTCTAACATCAAGAAATAATCACTAAAAATACACATTCTATAAAATTCACAAATATTTTCCCATTTAAAAGATTTAGCAATTATCGTACAATATCATTCTGTCCAAATGCCATTAATACTGTGACCAACATATGATTCTACTGTAATTACTAAATAGCTTATTGGTTGGTTTTATTCAAAAATAATGAAATAACTGGAGGATCAAAGAGGAGATACTGCCTCTGGGTATTGTACCACTAACTGGAGTAAGCGCATTCATATGAAAAAAAAAGGGACACCACCTCCAATGCTGTGCTTCATAAGTTCTACAAAATACAGTAAACAAGAGTTTTCAATTTTTTTAAAGAAATTACAATTTATGACAAATTCGTGGGGAAAAGGTCAAATCTAAGGCTGCATTAAGATTATAAATGAAGGACTCCCATCCAAGTTCAATAAGAAATATTAGACATTGGAAATTTGCAAAGTCTGGCTCATGGTGAAAAGTAGGTCAAATGTCAATTTCAAGGTCACAAATAGATTGCCAGTATACGACTTCCTACTCAAGTTCAATAGTAACTATGGGCATATTTCTGTAAGTTTTGGAGATATAATGGAAGGAAAATTTGCAAAGTTCAGTTTATGGTGACATGTAGGTCAAAGGCTAATTTCAAGGTCAGAGTTTGATTGCTGGTATATGCCTTTCCATTCAAGTTCAATGGTTACTATAGGTGTAACGAGTATTTGACATTTTATTTTCACCCCTGAATATTGTGACATTGTACTTTTTGATATAGCGCAACTATTAAACTGTATGGAAAACAAAAACAAACAAACAAAAAAAAAAAATGTCACCACTTCCAGTATTGTGCTTGACAAGCTCTATAAACTGCAACAAAGAAGAGTTATCTAGCTTTTATGGTTTTAGAATTAGAGAGTTTTTAGTTTCGGCCTCTATTAATGGCTGCTTTTTCTGTGATGATGCACCGATTGACCCTAAACTCACGAAAGTGAAAGATGACCCTCAGTGTTTAAGACTTGAAAACTTGCCCATAACATTTTGCCAAGCCTACACCAGTGCACCTACAAAGCCCAAAATTTAGGGTTCAGATTATAAGTGACCTAAATCTACACCAGTCTAGGAGGAGGAGCTGTAATGGTGATGTACATAGCGGCAGAGCCAGCAGACGAGATAGGCCAGGACAAAAATAATGTGTACCAATCTCCCTTAGTATAATAATACCCCCTTTACACTGGACGGCGTCCTTTCTGCGACCATAAAATTTGGCATCGCTGTGGTCTAAATAAGGAGGCACGGGCATCAATTTTGTATCAGAATGAATGCTCAATGATCGGCCAGTTGTCGGGACGTACAGCATTATAATTTTTTAACTCTCAAATGGGGCCGTACTACTGGACGCAGAAAGGACGCCGTCCAGTGTAAAGGGGGCTTAACTGGATGAATCAAAACTTGGTTAAAGGGTAACAATGGTACACTGACGAAGTGATACAACTTACTTGTACTGGTCTATAGGCAGTTTAACACTGGCCACGCCTCTGTTCTGAGCTTTTCGCTGAGACAATTTCTTTGAGACGTTCTTGTCAACCAGTCCACCAATCACATACACAGCATTGGGATCAAACTCTGTGAGATAGTCTGTAGCATCAGGAGAAAGGTAAACCAAGCTCTTTCGAGGGTACAGGTCAACCATATCCCGACCAGTGACAGACCACATCCAAGATGGCTGCAGTATTCCTTTCTGTACACCTATAGAATAGGTGCTCTCAGAGTCTGATGAAGCATGGCAGAGCATTAAGTTAAATGGGTCCCTGCTCTCCCTGTTATCATGATAAATATAACCAAGTTGAATACTTAAGGCTTTTTTCTCTTCATGAGTCATCAGTGAATCATAGCCCAAGTCAATCAGGAGGGGTTGGTGATACATCATGGCATTCATGAGATGCATATTTTGATAATGGACAAGGGTGTTCAAAAGCGACTTTCTACATACGATATTACGATAATCATATAAACTATCGTATTCAGTAAGTTTCTTGGGTTCTTCCTTCTTCATTGCCTTTTCTTCTTTAGCTAAAGCACGCACTGCTAAGTGTTCCCATCTTTTCTGTCTTTTCTTTTTTGAGAGTTTTGTCATTTCTAACAACACCTTATCAGTGACCTTGTCTGGAACTAGCCAACCAGAGCCTTTCATTAGAATGTATTCAGCTCGAACAATACCAAGTAACTCTGGGTCTATTTTCGATAGTTCTTCTGTTGCTTCTTCCTCTGTTAGTGGACTCCTGACGTGCAAACTAAGGTCATCAGGCAAAAAATGATCCTGTCCTCCATAGAATGCTCTGACTGAGAGTGTGAGGGGGTTAGTGGGTGAGAAGGAGGAGCGATAGATACCATCTATCTGTCTTTGTCCTTTCACAAAAGTCAATCTTCTGTGCTGACCCAAATTCAAAAACCATCCACAACGACGAGGGACAGCTTGATTTTGAAAACCAAGGGCACACAGGGACCAGGTGCCTGGTGAGCTGCTGACCATCTTCATCATATTGCTGGTAAACTTTTAGTCACACTGTTTGTATTTATCTGGAAAGAAATAATAAATGAAAGGAAATTACTAGTAATACTCAAAGCTTTTAAGCACTGTTATACATATAAGTTTATAGCAACATCATTGTACAATTATGCCTAATATTTTTTTCCAACAACTAAAAATTAACACTCTTGTTTGGCTTAAATTATGCTTAATAATTTTTACGTTAAAAATTCTAATTTACACCTCATCTGTCCTGATTTGTCTATATCCTTCAAGACATTTAGGTGAAACAGGAGTTTATGCAAAACCAGATATATAGTGGCATATTTACTAGTACAAAAGCCTGTTAAAAGAAATCATCCAGGTAATAGCTGACACAAGTCAAGCACTGTCTTTCAATCTTCTGCTGTAAGTACCCGATCACAGATAACGATCTGCAGTTATATTAAGGCAGCTTTTATCTCTTAACCAGGTGTGCAGCAGCTAATTACAAAGGCATGTAAAGGAAATCAACGTAAATATTACTCTGTGGAAATTCCAAGTTTCTATGGAAAAAATGTGCAGCTTTCGTTGCCCTTTAGACCAGGGATAGTTTATACTTTTTTGAAAGTTGTAGTGCCTGGCTGTGGGAGACCCTGGCCTTGACAATTTGAGTGAAACACTCGCACAATAAGTGAGCGTTCCGGGAAAATTAACATACTCACATTCATTCATTCACACGTGGTTCACTGTCAATATCCACTGCCTCGTGTTTGAACAAGTCGAATGGGCGGAAATGACGTCTGTACCGGAAGTACCGCCGGAAGTAGTATTAGAAATAAACCTTCTTCTCGCAGAGGTGACCACTGAGACCCTCAGTCGCCCTCTGGGGCCATCTATTAAGTCGAATCTAGTGATCTGTCTGTTTTATGTGAGTTAATTACTCATACCGATCAGTTCCAATGTGGGGAAGTGCTGGGATATGCTATGGCTACCCACAATTATCAAAGAAAAGGTTGAACAATATAAAGATTAAAGCGAATAAATGCTGGAACGCCTTTATTAATAGCTTTAATTAACTGTGCTGTCAATATTAACATGATAACAAAGTGATTTAAAGCGAATTGTGTGATTTGAAAGAAATGAAGTAAGAAAATAGGTGATCTTTTTGATACAACATTTCATGAATGCAGCAAAGTCCCGTTTATAGGGACCGATGTACGTCAAGTTGATTTCTCTCCCCCCCCCCCCCCCCCCCCCCCCCCCCC